TTGATTGCATAGTGGGAAGGTAATTCAACCATTTGAATTGAATTTTTTAAAAAGTATTCAACTATTCATCCTAGTTAAATAAACAGAGATCGATGGATTTCACTCAGTCGGCACATTTATTTATATCTTTGCAAAGAGAAGCTCATATGGCACAGCATTTTGCCCTGTTCTAATCTAGACAGCATTCGTTCCTCCTTACTTACAACAATAGAAAGCAGTCAGAGTCATTACAAATTACAAACACTTTGGTTAACAGTAACATGTTATGAATAAACCTTGACAAAGAATCTGGTTTGTTATGGGAAGAAGCTCTGTCTGGTCTACAAACACCATCCTGCAGAGAATTGTGTGGCCTTGATAGAGAAACAGACTGAGTGAAAACTTTTATAGTGAGTAAATAGGATAAATTAATATATAATAGAAGAGAGATAAAAATTTTCCGACAACCGTCCACCCTTTCGATTATAAAAGGATATTATCCTTGTGTAATCGATATTATAAAAAAAGGAAAATTTATGAATATAAAAAAACTAAGAAACTAAAATTGTGATTATATGTAAAGAAAGCTAAAAACTAAGAAACTAAAATTGTGAATAAATGTAAAGAAAGCTAAAAACTAAGAAACTAAATAACTATAAGATATAATAGAAGAGAGATCAAAATTTTCCAACAACAGCTTATTTCACTAAAATTACAGAAAAAAATGTGTACCTTTAAAGATAATTCTCTTCTTTTACTCCCAAAAAACCTTAGAATATATGTATTACACACACACATAATAAACTATTTAAACTGAACTTACATGAAAAAAAAAGAAAAACAATTACAGATTACATTACTAACTGTAGTTACACCCTTTACCAGTAGGTGGTGACATGTTCACATGAGGAATTGTTGGACGTAACTTAAGCGTTGGAGGCTTGGTGGGAATTTTGCATGTAAGCAATATTCAATTAAGATTATTCAGGCTGTCACAATCTGTTTTAATATTTCAAAATCTGTGAGGAAGATGATTTAACAATCGCCCCACCATAACATCCATAGACCAGAAGTATTAATAAAGCCACCTGAAAACCCACATGTTCATGATTAAACTCTAATTAAACAGATAGGTGTGTATAAATGTATGGGGTTGGTTGTGAAGCCTTAAATTTTTAAGCTATGTATTAATAACTCATAGAAAATAAAAGAATATTGAACATTTTTTGCTTAAAAAAAGAAAAGTAAACTTAGTGAGGTCACAAAGTATGACTTAAATTTTCCTAAGATGTACTAGACTGCCGTTTCTGTTACTATTCCTGATTTTATAACTAAACAAAGAAAAAAAAAACACGCTGACCATAAAGTAACGATAAAAACCATTTCCTCCTGATTTCTCTTTTTTTTGTGAATCTGTATCTAAATCTGGTTGAAACGAGGTTCAAACATCC